TGATAACTATAACATGTGTGTCAGCCGGACCAGTGTAAATTCCAGGACTGGCTGGTAGAAAACTTTCTCCACCATAGGTCTTAGCAGATCTCTCCCAGCTGTAATGCCAGCCGTGTAGCTTTAGTTAAGTTTTAGTTTCGTGGACCTGTAGGTGGAACTGAGCATTCTTTCTTAGAGACAGTCTGAATCAGCAGGGAATGAGACCAAAGAGATCAAGTCCAAAGGGGGAAAATTGGACAGTGAATGGTTGATATTTATATCTCACCTTTATGAGTCAGAGTGTATTTGGTGTGTAATTGGGTCACAGTGATTTCAAGGAAAAGGGACAAGTTTGACCAAAGTGGCCAAAGTGGATTATGCTAAGCAGCTAAGTTTCCGAGACAGAAATGTTCTAATGGCTGGGTGAGTAAGAGTCAATGAAGTATTTTACTTCATTGGAGTAGGGACAAAAGTTAAGTGTGGTTCTGCACTCCCTAAAAAACTTGAAGTGAGATTTGTTTCTAGAAGGGTTTGAATAAAGGCTAAAATAGAATATAAGCTTAAGTAATCTGTTATGGCCAGATCAGGACTGTATTGAGATTTTGGTCTGTATGGTAAGAGAAATGCACAGTTTTGAGGGATTTTATGGATGAGAGTAACATAATCAGATATGTTTGTTTGTTTGTTTGTTTGTTTAGTGAACAAGTAAGAGAGGGGCAGAGGGAGAGGGAGGGAGAGAATTTTGAGCATGCTGCATGTCCAGTGCGGAGCCTGACATGGAGCTTGCTCTCATGACCATGAGATAATGACCTGAGTCACAATCAAGGGTCAGACACTTAACCTACTGAGCCACCCAGGTACCTTCAGATATGTTTTTAGAACTTACCATTTGCCAGCAATGCATGAACTAGATGGAAGGATTCTAGAAAGGTTTTCCAGAGCCAGTTGACAGGCCATTGCAGTAGTTTTGATTACATTTAATGGCAAGGTGAATGAGGGTACCGGCTATGGAGACCATGAGAAGCAGACACATTCAGAAGAAATAGAATGATGGATTAGGCTTTGCAAATGATTATGAGAGAGTAAGGAGAGGAGGATGTTATAGATGACAGATGGTGATGCCATTCACAGATTTGAGGAACACTGGGAGAGTACCTGTTTGGGGGAAAAGAGCAAACAATAAGTCGTGACACTTTATGTTGAAGGAGCTTTTACAGCAAGCAAGTGGAGACGGTATGTTAGAATTATGGAGCTGTGGAGCTCAGAAGAAGTGCTTGAATTAGAGATACATATTTCAGAGTCATTGACACCTATAGCTTGCCATTGAGGTCACGAGCATGAATAGATTGCTAGTGAAAGAGAGTAATATAGTGAATAAAAGATGATTGATGACTTTAGTACGTAATGAGTGGGTGGAGAAGGATGAGCCTGCAAAGAAAAAAAATGACCAGTGTCATAGAAATAGAAGACAAAGTAGAAGAGAGTGGTATGGAGGCAAAAGGAGGAGAGTGTGGTCCACAGTGTTAAGTGTTGCTACATAGCAAGAACTTGAAACTCTCCGTGGGCTTCAGTGACATGATTGCTGTATTAAGCAATGTTTTTGGTGAGAAACAACATTGAGTGGAAAGAGTGAAAAGGAGGTGGAAGACTGACAGTAAACTGCATCACTCTTGAAAAATGTGCCTGTGTAGAAGATAAGACAATGGCTGCAAGGGAATATGAGGGTCAGGAGAGAGTTTACTTCAAAAGTATTGACTGTATGAGTCAATAAGTTTAAATTTCTGTATGCAGAATTCACTTGAAAGGGAAAGGGTGAATTTATGGTAGACAGGTAACAAAAATTTGAGAGACTCACACGCCTGAGAAGAAGAACGAGAATAAAGTATCAAATGCAGGTAGAGGGACTGACTAGATAAAGAAGGGAAAGTGGCTCAAATATAAGAGAAGGGAATTAGAAGGGTGCTCACAGATAAGACTGAATATTTGAATATAGGAAGTGGAAGAAATTCTAGTCTGATAGCTGCACTTTTCTTGGTGTAATAAAAAATGTCATCTGTGGATAGCTGGAGAAGGAGGATGGGTTAGTGCTTTGAGATCTTTAGAAAAAGTCTAAAATAGTTCCTGTGGAGAGTCAGAGTTCAAGTTGAAAACAACTAAATATGGCAGGATCCTGGGTTCATTTGAGGCTGTTGGTCATTGCATTCCCCCGGGAGTGGATCTGGAGACAAAGATCTAGGTGCAAATAGTTTATGGGAGAATTGGAAGCAAAGTGGAGAAGTGAGGTTAGGAAAAGAATAAAGGATACACACATGGGTTATTGCTGGAGGCAACTGGAGAGGAGTCTTTCTGGGAACGCTCTGAGGCACTGTGTGTAACTTTGATCATGATGGTCATGCTGAAGGGCAAGGGAGCTGGAATATTTATCTACCAAGTCCCAGCTCTCGCTTGGTGTCACCCTAGTGGTATTTTTTTTAATATGAAATGTATCGTGAAACTGGTTTCCATACAACACCCAGTGCTCATCCCAAAAGGTGCCCTCCTCAATACCCATCACCCACCCTCCCTCACTCCCACCCCCCATCAACCCTCAGTTCACCCTAGTGGTATTAACATCTCAACACTTCTGCCTTGCCCCATGCACTAGCATGTGAATGGCTGCAGGCAGATAGAAACAGTGAAGTTTATACTGTAGGAAAGGAAAAGCAAAAATGCTTTCTGAAACATTCTTATGGAAAACATGCACTGAATTTTGTAGGTGGCTACATGACCAGAGTCGAAGATTTGATTTAATGAGTTAACATCAAAGAGAGAAAAAGAGATGTTAAGAAGCCTGCAAGAGGATTCTGTTTCAGTATCACCATTTTGAATGAATAGGAAACCCAATAACTGAACTTATAGGGAGAAAAAATAAATGTAGGGAGGATAAGAATCACCATGTATGATAAAATAAAAATCCATAAATATTTACAGTCCACATGCATATAAAAGTTTTGACTTTCAGTGACATGGGATTGGAGTCGAAATCTCTGAATTCAAATCTCTGTTCCTTCTGTTTCTAGTTGGTTAACGTTCATTCAGTAAATACTTGTTACTCTGAACCAGGCCTTTTTTGAGGTGAAGGATATAACGGTAAACAAGATGAATTAAGTTCCTTCTCCATGGTACTAACAGTCTGAGATTCATTAGTTCAATTTCTTTGAGCTTCCATCTCCTTACATGAGCAGAGAGATTAATAAGATCTTACCACAGGCTTTTTTAAGAACGTAAAAAGAGAATATGTTTTTGGAAGTGTTTTGTGCTCTCTGAAGCTCTGTATTAGCTTAATGTTAAAACAGTAGCCTGCAAGTAATATGCACAATTTTATCAGGTTTATATGACTTCAAGCCCTGAAATTTGAATTCAAGAAACCAGCTTCTAAGTTTGTGATTATGGAGAACTGGTTTAGTGATAGTTTATGTGAAAAATTCTGGGAAGTTTTAGCTCAGTTTAACTTCAGTGTGAGTTAAAAGTCTAATGTGGAAATCAAAACATTGGTTGAACTCATAGGCTGCATATCCAAGAAGATAATTGTGTATTCTTTCCTGATTGTACTAAACACTACTCACATGATCTCTTTAGGAACCAAATTTTAAGTAAGAGACAGGCAAGCCATGGAATTAGCTGTTGAAGTAATGAGAAGTAGGGTAGGATACTGTCAGATATTTTCTAGGGGTTTTAAAGAGTTGATTTCACCTATTTGAGTGCTGTATTGGGTAAGAAGATACAGCATGGTGATTAAAGTACATTACTTGGGGTCTTAAATTTTGTATCTGTACTTTCGTTCTACTTCACAAATTGCCTATGAAATACGAGTAAATATTTTTCTGGGGACTTTGTTTGCCTGTTGTTTTAATAAACTTGGATTAGATGATTTCTAAATTCTCTTTTCATAGATTCTTTACAGGTGCTGATAAAATCTAGGGACTCTTTCTCAAGAAAACATGCACACACATTTAGAATTGTGCCTGGAATTTCAAGTGATGCACAGACATCCTCCACCCTTGCAACCCATCCATGACTCTCCTCCAGTCTCTGCTTTAACTAGATCTGAATGACCTGATCCAACCATTAAATCCCATTGACTCCATAGGTCTCTGCAATAAAAGAATGTTTGTGAATATTAGGGCATGTGATTAGATGTCTATTGCAGCATAACAACCCACCATATTTAGTGGCTTAAAACAACAGTTCTTTATGTTTTCTTACGCTTCTGCAATGTGGGCAGGGTTCTCTGGGTAGTTCTGATGCTCTGGTATCAGCTGGAGAATCATTTGGTTATATTCAATGGTGTTTGAGATGGGTCAACAGGTGAAAGTTTTATTCACACGGTGTGGTGCCTTGTTCTCATTCATGTTGTCTCTCCACCTGGCTAGATTGAGCTTCCTTAATGGGGCTTTGGAATGCTGAGGTAACAGTTGCATTTTCAGTGCCTGTTCTAAGAGAACAGGATTGACAGCGCAAGCAGCTATCAAGTCTCTGCTTGCATTACCCTTAGTAATATCCCATTTGCTTTAGCAAGTCACAGAGCCCATTTCAGAGTCTGTATTGGTGGAGATTGCATAAAGGCATGGATGTCCAAGTATGGTTCAATGGGAGCTACTGACCGGAATTACTTGTTTACTGTAAGTACTTTCCAGAAAGAAAGAGGGTTATCTTGGGGAGTAGTAATTTTTCAACCACTGCAAACATTCAAACAGAGGCTGAGCAATAGCTTATAGGAGATGCTGTAGGGAGGCATTTGCTACATTGCAATTAATAAAATGAACTCCACGATCATAAGACTGGAGATCAAAGCCAATTCCAAATTTTGAGCCTACCTAACTAGGGAAATGGTAGTGCTATTAACAGGAACAGGGGCATCAGGCAGGAGTCTAGATTGGAAGGAGAATGGTAATGTGAATAGATTGCTTTTTTTTTTTTTTTTTTCTTACAGGAGACAGAGATAATCAAGAAATAATGACCCTTATTTTTTCCTGTCTTAGGTTGGATGTCGATATAACTGAACTTCACAGTTGGATTACTCGTTCAGAAGCTGTGTTGCAGAGTCCTGAATTTGCAATCTATCGGAAGGAAGGCAACTTCTCAGACCTTAAAGAAAAAGTCAATGTAGGTTATGCATTAAATTTTATGTATTTTCCTAAGTTTTGCTGCTTGTAAACTCTGTGCTTTGTACTGTCTCATTCTATCAGTTGAAAAGATTAAAGCAGTATGATATAGTCCTTTTAAATATATCTTTAACATATGTTTAGCATATCAAGCAGAATCAGAGTTTAGCATAGAGAAATCTTTCCTGGTTGTGCTGTGACTAAGCAGGATTGCTTTTCATAAGCCTTCTTTAACTTTTATATTATTTAGCTGTAAGTTAACAATTTTATAACATGAACTCATATTGATTTTCCTTCATGTCTTGTTCTGTCACCTCAAGGCTGGGAGTTTGCAAGCTTGCAGAATAGTATACAGACCCTTAAATATACTTAGGACCCTATTTATGCTTTCGCTATCATCCAAAAGTTATTCTTTATACTCATTAGTACTTGTCATAACAGATTTGCATTTTCCAGATATTTATGTATTGCATTACCATAACTAAAAGATGTCCAGCCTTTTTTCAGTATTTATTTATAGCAAGAGGTGGTTTGCTATTTTTATTCTCTACTGAGACATCATAGTTGTGTCCTTCACAATAGGGATTTTTATTAATTTAATAAGTGCTGCTTCATCTTCAAGGACATTATCAGGACTTTGATATTTCAACTTCACGATTATAACACATCCATTTTGGCAATTGTTTGTGAGAGAGTTTTAACAGTCACAGTAAATACTCCATAGTGGGCAGGCTAAAGAAACAAATATTCTGAATGTCAAATAGTTTTAGCTATAGGAAGGTCAGGTGAGTGGATAACTCTCTCTGCTTTATGTTTTGAGCAGTCAGTTTCATACAATACAAACTCCCTTAGGTTGTTACAAATACAACACTTTCTTAGATACAAGCTAATACTTGCTGTGGAATTGGAACATTTGGAGAGCAAGAAAGGATTTTCTTCTAGGAGAAAATAATCTATTTTTTAGGCTGCTTGAGGTGGAGGGGACAGATTATTCCACCAACATGTCTCAGAGTTAACTATTTATACATTGGAAAGTTATTTTAAATGCATTATTAGTTATATACAATGTTCTTAGTATAATAATAGACTATTATAAACAATTTCAGGAAATGAACATTATGATTATGTTATGAATGTTTTAGCTTTAAAATTAAACTAGAGCATAATATATATATGGTAGAAAATTAGCAAAATAGTGTTATTTCAATGTATACTTATTGGAGGTATATTATTTGTTAGGATTGTGGAGGGAAATTCTATGAGTGGAAAATTACTTAGAGAAGATGAACTCTAGATACAATTTAAAGTTCATGTGACATGGGGCGCCTGGGTGGCGCAGTCGGTTAAGCGTCCGACTTCAGCCAGGTCACGATCTCGCGGTCCGTGAGTTCGAGCCCCGCGTCAGGCTCTGGGCTGATGGCTTGGAGCCTGGAGCCTGCTTCCGATTCTGTGCCTCCCTCTCTCTCTGCCCCTTGCCCGTTCATGCTCTGTCTCTCTCTGTCCCAAAAATAAATAAACGTTGAAAAAAAAAAAAAAAAAATTTAAAAAAAAAAAAAAAAAATAAAGTTCATGTGACAAATTTGGCCACTGAGAGTATAAGTCACCTTGGGTAGACATTTTATTAGCTAATTTAAATTTTTTAAATTTATCTTAATAATCTACTTATCTGTTTGTCATCCTAGTTCTGTATCTTAAAACAGCTCTGATCAAGCAGCAAAATTGAGTTCCAGCATTTCAAGAATATAAATTCAAAATTTTCCTGTTATCATATGGTTACCTAGAAGCAATTTGCATTTAATCAATAGTGTCAGCAATGACAGACTGAAAGTACTAAAAAAAAAAAGTACAATGTTGTATGAGTGGTTTTCTGATGCTGCATGAGTCACCTTTATCAACTTCTACTCTCATTTTCAAAAATAACAACATCATTCTTAATTGCCTACTAAAATAGGGCATGAAATGATTTACCTAGACATTTGCTTCAGGCTAAATATAATATATATGTATTAAAAATCCGTGAGAGAAATACATAGTAATGATGATGGATATGCAGTTTAAGCGTACATTAGTTTTCTTAATTGTTCACCTGTCAGTGTATGTAACTTACTTTGAATACATGGGAGGCCTGTCTCATGAACTTGAATGGTATTCTTTTTTAGGTGTCCATTAAAAATGGCTAAATATTACCCTCTTTTTTTTTTCTTTCTCTTGTCTTCTTTCTTCAGGTATTACTTTCATGAGTTTTCAACCAGTTAGAATATCCTCGAACATTATCAGTTCAGTTTTAAGTACTTTTTAACCTAACATAATTTTTCCTTATCTATTAGCCATGTGTTTTATCCATATAATCAACATAATGCACTTACTTAAAAGTTGAATTCTAGGGGACATTTCTACTCAAAGTGGTCCCTGGGCAACCAATATTAGCCACATCTGTGAGTTTATTAGAAATATGTGATTTCAGACCCAATGGCTCAATTTCCATTGGTACAAGATCCACAGGTGATTTGTTGGTACATAAAGATTTGCGAATCAGTACTCTAAGGCACATTATGGGACTTTACCAGACTCCTAGTTCCTTTACTCATTGTGTTAATGTCACCACAGTTGAGAATTGCAATCTGACTTCATAGGTAAAGCTACTCAACTTTTTGAATTGAGCACATGGTAATATAAGGTAGGAATTGAAATAACAGTGTAGTCTTACTACAAGGTGATTGTACACCTGTACAGTGTTGTCTTGAAAGCCTTCATACCAGCTGTTAAGGTCAACAGACCTTGGGCTCTTTCTGGAGCCAATTCTCCCTTGACACCAAATCAACTTTTAAACAAGTTGTACTGGAAATATTCAAGCCAATTCTTTCTACATTTCTTTTACTTCAATTATCCGGGTTTACCACCCAGAACAGAGGTCTCTCCATTCATCTGTGCTTTCTTGTATCTTCATCTCTCTGCTCTTTTACACTCGCTTTCCTCTGCCTCGCTTGTTTTTCGTGCCTTCCTGCTCACAGTCCCTCTGTACTCTGAAGCCCTTCTTCGGAAAGAAACTTTCTGTCCTGTGTACTCCTTCTCTGCATCCATGGAAACCACTTTGACCCTCAGGAACACCACTAACACTCATGACTCTTTGACTTTGCCACTCATTTAGATGTGCTAGTTTCCTCACTTCCCAGGGCCAATTCCAAAGGTACTGCTCTCTATGTAAAAATCTCTTCCCTTGTGTTTGATGCCCAATAGCCATCTATCACCATTTTATAATATTATTTTTCTCATTGAAGACTTTGGCATTAGGATCACCATCTTCTCCACCCAAGTTGTACCTTCGTCCATAAAAATCCCAGACCCTGTAGGCTGTCCTGCTATCTCCAAAAGTTGCTATTTCCCTAATCTCCTCAATTCAGCTACCCACTTGCATAACTATAGATGTTTCATTGCCAGACATGACTCTTTTCCTGAAATACCGTATTTACACAAATTGCTTGGTACTTCTCCATAAGCTTTCATGCATTCCTAGTACATTTTCTTCCCTATTTCTGTCAACAATTATTTCACATTTTTAGTGGATCTCCTAAACTTTTCCCCACCATTTATGGTAGATGACTTTCCCTCTTATTTTAAGGTAATACCTCACAAATTGTGTGTATTTGTTCTCATATTCCTTTTTTACCTCCTTTGCCTTGTTGGAAGAGATGGTGCTTTGGCTGGTCAAGGCTAATCTGTGTGTATGTCCTAAAGAACCTGCTTCCATTCAGCCATATGTCCGTATCTTCACTAAACCCCTCCTCTCCTATAAACACATAGGACCATTTTTGTGCCTTATGTTCTTCAACTTCTCCGCGGGATTAGATTCTATTAACCTCTTTATCCTTCACGGAATTCTTTACTCTCTGGGTTTATGGGGTACCATTATCTACTGGTCTCCTTTTGAACATTTTGGTCATTTGTTTTATCCCCTTTTCCTTTAATAGTGATATTCTATACAATTATTGTCTTGTTTTTCTTCTCTGGATTATCCTCTTTCCCTCCTATTCAAATAACATCTATTTTCTAATGAACCCCAACTTTGTATCATTAGCTCATGCCTCTCCCTTAAAGCCCAAGCCCGTTTGCTTACTTGCCTAATAGACTTTAATTGAATATTTGCCTGAAAACTGAAAATAAACCTCATGATCTCCCCAGCCCTCCTTTATTTCTCTTTCTTTGTTTTGACACCCTAGTCCAGAAACCTAAAAGCTAACTGGTCATCTAGACCTTTTCCTACCATTTGCCAGTCTATCCAAGTTCAATTAATTTTATTCTCTTACCAGCTCTTGAAACTGTCCTGTTCTCTCTATTCGCATCACTACAACCCTTATTGAAGCTAGTATCATGGCTCACCTCTGTTTAAGATGCCAATCCCTATGTGGTCTTCCCTGCCACTAATGTTGTATTCCTTTAGAAGTTTTAGCATGAGTTCTGTCAAAGCGAACTTAGTAAAACATGAATATTACCCTGTTATGCCTCTGTTGATATTCATTTGAGAAAGCAGAAAGCAGCCATCGATAATCAGGAGCTGGCTTGGCTTCTTCAGTTAGTACTGAGAGATGCTCGATGCTGTGCTCGTGCTCATAGCTAGTCTGTGATGTTGTCCTGTTGAATATGCACAACGACTCCAAATGCCAACCCTTAGACAAGACCACTTCATGAACGTGGTGGATCAAGACAAAAAATGACCGTTTTGTAATCATGTTTCAGTACAGACACAAAAAAAATAACATGGCGAAAGCCATCCCAAGTGACTGCATGTCCCCCATCTTTACTGATAGGACAAATTATGTCATCTTACTAATCCTAGCTTTAGTCTCTTTACCCTGTTCTTGCCGCCTAGACAAAACCTTTTAAGATACCCAGTCATAGAAGCACTTCTGCTTCCTTACAACATCTCATTACTTCCTTGACCACCCCCTCACCTTACATGTGCACAACTCCCATAAAGTCTTTCTATCTTCTTACAGCCCTACACCTTTCAACTTAACTTTGTTAATCTATAGACATGTTCCTGGTGGCCTTTGG